ACTCTAAACCCACTGAGCTAACCAGTCAGCCCATGACTGTAAATTTTGGAGCTGGCTGGGCCCTGAGGAACCTCTCCTCCAACCCCTGGTTTGGCAGCAGTGGAAGCTGCAGCTGGATCAGGGAAGGGACCTGCCCTAGGTCACACAGCAAGTCAGTGCCAGAACCGAGACTCTCAATGCCTGGCTAGGGCTCTGTGTGCTCAGTTTCCTTCCTGGGTGCTCACCTGCAATGTGTGGTGCACAGGAGACTGTGGGGTAGCCACCCTGTCCCCCACTCTTCCCTGCCTGTGAGCAGCCCCCAGCCCTGAGGAGGCCAGCGGGAAAGGGTGACCGCATCTGATCCACACCCACCCCCTCCTCCCTCTGCAAAGAGAGAAGACAGACTGCCTGGTGGCTGACAGGACAATCTGGGGCAGGAGGCGATGTCTTCCTCAGGAAAGCACGGGGGAGAGAGCTGGGACCCATCAGCCGAGGTCGATAAGGGGCCCGCTGAAATGTTAGCAAAAATATTTAGACAATAAATGAAGTATCGGAAAGGCGCACGTATCTTTAAGAAATCAATCATCTTGTACGGTGTCTGGACACTTGGCGCCGAGGCGGAGATAGCGCGTTGCTGGGGAGATAAGGGTTAATCACGGATTTAATTCTGCAGGAGATAAAGCCTGGGCCAGGGAAGAGCAGGGGAGGCTCTTCCTCCCGGGCTGCTCTGCAACAGCCTCAAAGGCTCCTCTGGCCCTCACTCCCCCACTCCCCTTGGACATTATCTGGCCGCCTGCGGAGGGTTTCCACCCTGGTGCCAGTCTCCTCAGGCTGACCTGAGCCACTGGACAGGACAAAACCCCTGGAGAGGAGGGAGGTGGAGAGGGAGGGGATATTGGTGGCTGGGCGAGGCTGGGGCAAGGAGTGGCAGGTTGGGGCCAAGGCCAGGCTTCCAGTGGCACCCCCCTCAACCCTGTGTTGAAGAGCCTGCGGGGGTCTCTGGTGGATGGGCAGAGGTGGCTTCCAATTCTCACTCTGCTATTTGATCCTGGTGACTTGGGCAAGTCACTTAACCTCTCAGAGCCTCAGTTTTTTCATCTGTAAAATGGGACAGTGGTACTGCCTCATAGGGTTGGGGGGAGGAAATGAAGGGCCCTGCGTAAGGAGGGCGTGTGGAGCTTGTCTGCAATGTACACGTGGCTATCCTGGATGGGTCTGACCGACCCCAGCAGGGAGCAGAGGAGACAGGTGCAGAACACACCAAGACTCCCAGTCCCGGCTCTCAGACACTCTTGCTTGTGTTCCTGGTCACTACGTATGGGTTTTCTTGGCGCTTTCAGAGTTCAGAGATGACAGCCTTGGAGCTCCCGGCCCACCCACTCATTTCTCCTTCCAACCATTAAATGCCTCCCAGTGCCCCTACATCCCAGAAGAGTCAACTGCCCTTTGCACGCTTCCAGCGATGGGGAGCTCACTCTCTGCAGTACCCACTCTAAACACCACTGCTTCCTTCCCACAGTGGAGCTGAAATCTGGCTCCTTGCATGGAGCCCAAACCTGCCACCCTGGAGCTTCCACTGTTAACCATGGCGCAAGACTGTTGTCCCTCCTATGCCAGGCCCTGTGTCAAGCACCACTGGCAGATTATCATGCAATTGCCCAGCTGCTCTGGCAGGCTGGTGTGCCGTCTGCTTCCCCCTTCACAGACAAGCTTGCAGCTCTGCCCACCCTCTCCTTTGCAGGGAGGTTGGCAGGTCTGCAGGCTCAGGTCTAAAGGAAGCTTCAGGCCCCTCCCGTGTCCTGCCAAGGTCCCCAGAGCTGAGGAAATGGTAGCTCAGAGTGGGCGGGGGCCTGCCTGGGGATACACAGTGAGGAAATGGCCTGATGGCAGGAGACCCCATGATCTGGACCCTGCACAATGGGGACGGCCTGGCCGTTGGCCTGGACCAGCCTCCTGCTGACTTGCTGGGCAGCCTGGGACAAGCGTCTGCCCCTCTCAGCTGACCCCTCATCTGTGAAAGACCATGTGGGGGGCCCGGCAGGGGTACAACTCCAAGAGGCTTTTCCAACATCCAGAGGCCTGGCCTCAACACAGAGATTCTGACTCAACACAACCATACAGCCCAGATTTTATTGCATATGCAGGATGGAACGGGGCTGTGAGCGCTGGGTCCCAGGGTCTGCAGCTGAGCTTCTGCCTGCTGTGTGCCACCAGTCCCATGCATGCTGCTGTGAGCTAAGCTCCTGCCGCTGTGTGTTCAAGGCTGAGAAATGGGGGCTCTAACTGCCAGGTGTGCTGGCCTGTAGCCCTGTCCTCGCCTGTTTAGGGTGTGGATATGGAGACCCAGCATTGTGTGGTACCAGCCAGCCAGTGCGTACCCTGGATCAAACCATGCCTGAATGCCATGTCAGGAAACAAAAGGCCCAGGCCATGGCTACGCCTGCACACTGGGGGCACCTGAGCCTGGGCTTGAGGGGACTGACCCGGGTGCTGCTTAGCCTCCTAGGTGTGTGCCACCAGGGCTGGGGGGCACCTGCGGGACACGTGTGTGCATGAGCCCCTCCCGCTCCCATCATGCTGTGTGCTGCCCCGCTGCTGCCTGAGGCTGCTCATTAGTTTTCTGTACCTCCACGCCCTTTCGTAACTAAAATGTATTGAAAAAAAAAGCCTGTGTATGTGCTGCGAGAGGAAACCAGACCGACTTGCCATAAATAGAAGGTAGCCTCGGAAAGAAATCCAAGACAAACACCAGAGCGGGGTCTGTGTCCGCAGAAGGGTCTGCCCTTGGAAGGCTGTGCCCAGGCGGGGGCTGCTCTGTGACAAAGGAGATCAGCAAGTGTGGGGAGCCGTGAAGACCGTGGCACCAATGATGCTCTGTTCTGTCATCAGAAGGACCCACAGAGATAGAAATGGGATGACTCTTTCGCCCCCTGCTGCAGCCATACTGAGCACCTGAAAAACCTGTCTCCCTAGCCACAGGCCTCCCCAGCAACGGGTCTCCCCAGCCATGGGCCAACCCAGACATTGGCCTCCACAGCCATGGGCCAACCCACCCATGGGCCAACCTAGCCATTGGCCTCTCCAGCCATTGGCCTCCCCAGTCATGGGCCAACTCAGCCACAGGCCAGCTCAGCCACAGGCCAACTTAGCCATTGGCCTCCCCAGCCATGGGCCAATGCAGCCATTGGCCTCCCTAGCCATGGGCCAACCCAGCCATTGGCCTTCCCAGTTATGGGCCAACCCAGCCACTGGCCAACCCACCCATGGGCCAACCCAGCCATTGGCCTCTCCAGCCATTGGCCTCCCCAGTCATGGGCCAACTCAGCCACAGGCCAGCTCAGCCACAGGCCAACTTAGCCATTGGCCTCCCCAGCCATGGGCCAATGCAGCCATTGGCCTCCCCAGCCATGGGCCAATGCAGCCATTGGCCTCGCCAGCCATGGGCCAACCCAGGTATAGTGGACTGAATTATGTCCCCCTAAAACTCACTGAAGCTTGAATTGTGTCCCCCAAGTTTATGTATTAGAATCTCAGCCCCCACTGTGACTGTTAAGAGGGTGGGAAATCCTATTATGGTAACTGAAAGGTAGAGCCTTAAATAGGTGATTGGATTGTAGGACCATGCAGTAGTGAATGGATTAAAAACAGTGGTCAAGGGTATGGTCCTTAGGGCTTTAAAAGAAGAGGAGAATCTGTCTTTCATGCTCTCCCTGCTTCTACCATCTTGCAATGTGAGATCCCTGGGTTACTGTCACCACCACCAGATGGACTTTGGACTTCCCACCTCACAAACTATAAGCAATAAATTTCATTTTCTTTATAAATCACTCAATTCCAAGTATTTTGTTTTAAGCAACCCAAAATGGCCTAATACACCAGCCATTGGCCTCCCCAGTCACAGGCCAATCCAGCCACAGTCCAACCTAGCCATTGGCCTCCCCAGCCACAGTCCAATCTAGCCATTGGCCTCCCCAGTCAGGGGCCAACCCAGCCATGGGCCAACCCAGCCACAGTCCAACCTAGCCATTGGCCTCCCCAGCCACAGTCCAACCTAGCCATTGGCCTCCCCAGCCACAGTCCAACCTAGCCATTGGCCTCCCCAGCCACAGTCCAACCTAGCCATTGGCCTCCCCAGCCACAGTCCAACCTAGCCATTGGCCTCCCCAGCCACAGTCCAACCTAGCCATTGGCCTCCCCAGCCACAGTCCAACCTAGCCATTGGCCTCCCCAGCCACAGTCCAACCTAGCCATTGGCCTCCCCAGCCACAGTCCAACCTAGCCATTGGCCTCCCCAGCCACAGTCCAACCTAGCCATTGGCCTCCCCAGCCACAGTCCAACCTAGCCATTGGCCTCCCCAGCCACAGTCCAACCTAGCCATTGGCCTCCCCAGCCACAGTCCAACCTAGCCATTGGCCTCCCCAGCCACAGTCCAACCTAGCCATTGGCCTCCCCAGCCACAGTCCAACCTAGCCATTGGCCTCCCCAGCCACAGTCCAACCTAGCCATTGGCCTCCCCAGCCACAGTCCAACCTAGCCATTGGCCTCCCCAGCCACAGTCCAATCTAGCCATGGGCCAACCCAGCCACAGTCCAATCTAGCCATTGGCCTCCCCAGCCACAGGCCAACCCAGCCGTTGGCCTCCGCACTGTCCCCAACACCACGAGGGCCAGCCCCTCACTCTGCTCTATGTTGCTTCCACCCCATGAACACCTTCCCTTTTCTGCCCCAACTCTGACTCATCCGTTAAGGTCCGACTTAAAGAACCCCTTCTCCAGGAAGCCCTCCCTGAGGTGCCAAAGGCCCCACACCACCTCCTCCAGGAAGCTGTCCTGGGGCCTCAGTTAATTACTCCCTACCCTCTGGGTCCCAACATCTCAGCCCGTGTCTCCTAACAGGTTCCACGCAAAATGGCCACGCAAAATGGCTGACCCAGGTGTGGCTCAGGGGGCTGAAGTGGCCTGTGTCCTGGACTGGATGCTACCCTGTGTCTGGTGGGCGGGTTGGGGCTGGGGCTCCTTACCAGCTCTGCCTGCCCGGGGGATGCGGCTTTGGTCTGGATACTCCCGTGGAATGGGCCCCAGGACAGGCCCTCGGCGAGGCTGAGCCGGGCCCGTGCGCGCCTCTGCCCGTCCTGCAGCACCAGCTCCAGCTCGTCTGCAGAGAGAGACATTGTAGGTGGGGGGCATGCCCGGCCGGGCACCGCCCAGCCCACCTCCTGAGGGGCCCAGGCCACCTCCAGCAGCACCCCCGTCCCCTAGTGGGGCTGAGCAAAGAGGGAGGCCCTGTGAGATGATGACTGGCTCTTGGGCTCTGGGGGCCAAGTCAGCCCCTATGGCAAGAGCTTCTCTGGGGCTTGGTGGGCCTCAGAGACACAGTGCCAACAGCGCCTGTGGCCAGGCCTGAGCGGTGGCCGTGAGCCCCTGTGAGTCCTTCTCACCGGGCTGGGCTGCAGGGCTGGATGGCGTTGGAACCCGGCCATACTGCACGTGACCCATGTGACCCGTGCAGTGGGCCAAATGGTGGCTCCAAAAGAAATTCCCAGCTGCAATCTGTAAATGTGCCTTATTTGGAAAAAGGGTCTTTTGCAAATGAAATTAAGGATCTTGAGATGATACCTGGATTATCAGGTGGTCCCTAGATCCAAGTGTCTTAATAACAGTAAAGAGAAATAACAGTAAAGAGAGATTCACAGGAGAAGCCACATGAAGTCAGAGGCAAAGACTGGAGTGATGCAGCCACTGGGAGCTAGAGAGGCAGGAGGGAGCCTCCCAGAGCCTTTGGGGGGAGCACGGCCCTTGCAACCTGGGCCTTACCTGCCCTGCTTGATTGAGCCTCAGCCTCTTCCGTGAGGGCAGCGGCCCCTCCCCCAAGGGTGGGCCCCCCTGGCCACACACCCTCTGCCTGGGAAGGCTGGGCCACCTGTGCCTTGCCTTCTGCCAAGGCTGCCAGACCACCAGGGCCTCACGTGGCCTGGCCTGGTCCCCTGGCTGGAGCCCTATTGGCGGCCCCACTTCCTGGAGCCTGATGGGCCAGGCTGTGGCCTTAATAGGCCTGATTATCAGATAACTGAGCGCCTAATGGTAGCGATAGCACGTAAATACGCCAGGAAACCCTGCTAAAACGTTTTCACTGGGTCTTTGTCTTCCCCGGGGCAGATAAGATGGCAATGAACCAAGACTGAGAGGCCGAGGAGGCCCTGGCCCTTATCAGCCCTGAGGAGGGGAAGAGCCAGGGCTGGGGGCACCACAGAAAGAGGCCCCGTCACTCCATGGCTGCCCACGAGGGCCACATCCTCTGCCAGCACATCCAGATGCAGGGTCCTGCTCCTTCCCTGCCCCTGCAGGGCTTGGCACTGAGCAGGTGACCAGCAAGCTGGGTCCCATCATCAGGGACAGGGATGGGGCAGGCCAGCACCACAAGGCCCTAGGGGGACATGCAGTTACCTGTTCCTAAGAAGTTTATCCCTTGTGAACATGAGGAAACAGGGACCCCGAGAGGCCACACAGCAGGCAGCGGGTGCCAGGATCTAACCTGGGTGCTGCTCCAGAGCCCCTCCCCCATCACTATCATGGTGACCAGGGTCCTGGTCCCTCGCGTCCTGGGTGTGTCTGCGTCTCTGGTCACCTGGCTGGCCCTCAGGGGTGGGTGTGGTAATTAAAGAAGAGGCTTCCCAAAAGGAGCTTGCTGCGTGCTCCCTGGTCCATCTGTTTGTCCGGCCATCCGATGGTCCTAGCTCCCTATGGACTGAGCCTGAGAACTGCCCACCTCCCCCATCCCCACCACCCAGGCGGTCAGGCCAAGGGGAAGCATCTAGAATATCACCTGGACTGTCAGAGATGCTCTGAGCTACTTGGGATGGGGGACTGCACTTGGGCCTCTGTCCTCCTGCAGGGGCTGTGGGGGTGCGCAGAGGACCTCTCCTTGAGCAGCCCCTGTGGGCACACCTGGACCCACAGGTGGAAAAGACAGGTCACGTTAAGCGGCCATGACCCCTGCTTTCCTGTCCGTGTCCAGCAAGTGCACTCTCAGGCCCACTCCCAGGCCCTGTGACACAAGCCCTCATCAGGAGCCTCTGCTGTAACTGAGATGATGCCTTTCTCCTGAGGCTGATACCCACCCTTCCACAGGGAGGAGGGACTCAGGCTCTGAGTTTCCCCACCTGTGGACTGAATGCCCCCCAGACTTGGGGACACAGTGGGAAGGAGGTTGCTGGCCCGGGTCACCCCGCATGCTAGAAGAGGAGTCATGGGCAGTCCCAGGTTGCCCCCCACACAGACCTGTGGCATCCACACCTGTCCCGCCTGCCACACCTGTGGGGTGCTGAGGCCCCTCTCCCAGCAGCCCGGGCTCTAGCTTGTCTCAACCCTCCTGGGGAAGGAAAGGGGGCTGTGCTTGCACCCCACCTGGCCCACTCGTGCACTACAGGCAAGTGGCCCTGCTCCCTAATCGGAGCTGGAGTGCTGTGGGCCGAACCTCCCAGATAAGAGCGTGGCTGCTGCTTCCCATGGCAGCTGCTCCGTCTTCTGGGTATCACGCGTCACCAGAGAGGGCTGGCTCCTGATAAAGGCAGCTGTTCCACATGCCTGGGGGCAGAACCCACCACTCAGGGCATGCCAGGGGCTGGTGGAGGCCTGGGAAAGGTGAGAGGACAGGGGCCTCCAGGGAGCCCAGGGAGTGGAGGAGCATGGGGCTGGGGACAAGGCAGTGGTCACCACGACAATCCATCTCCCTGGTCCAGGGTCCAGGTCGGCCATCTCTGAGGGTCTGTGCATTAGAAAGGGTGCCTCCTGGGGGTGGATGAGGGCTATGGCAGGTGCTTGGATTGGTAAAAGGAGCATGGCTAAACCAGCCCAGCTCACCCCAGGGCCCTTGTGCAGGGCACAACCTTTGCAACTGTCTGCAGCAGCCCAGGTGATGTTCAGCCTCCACAATAGGTTCAAACAATCTATTTCCAGCTCACAATTCTGGCCCCAGCCCCTCGCCAGGCAAAAACAGGGTGAAACAGGTGTTATAGTCCAGTTAGCAGCTAACAGAGACCCTCTCCCAACCAGAAGTGAAATTGCACTGGAAAAGTGCGTGTGGGTGAGGCCACCAACTCCTGATACACTGGGTGCTTCATGAGGGCTCAGTTCAAAGCTGACAATGAATGAAAGTATCAATGAGAGAGGGCAACGGGCCCCGGAGGATAGGGTGACACCGAGCTGGCATGGGAGCCAGTAGAGAGAGCACTGGGCAGAAAGAAAGTTATTTTTCTAAACAGCCTCTAAGATAGCTGGAGAACGCAGACAGTGGTGGCCGTGGACACAGTCAGCCCCCAACCCTGGCTCTTCCCCAACCACACCGACAGGAAATGTGGGGCCTAGTGAGGCTAAGGAGTGCCCACGCCACTCTGGGAACTCAGGCTGGAGGACGGACTGGGACCCAGACCTCTGGACTCAGTGCTTGCACCCGGGCCAGGGACGACAGACGCACAGCCTGTACCCTGGGTGTTCCGGGAAACTCAGGAGGTGGCCAGGCACCCATGGGCACACACAGTTCCGATGGTGGGTCAGGCAGGGTGGGCTTCCAGGTGGAGGTGTCCTCCTTCCCTAGCAGTCTCCTGTGACCAGTCTCTGCTTCCTCCTCCCCAGCTCCAGAGCAGAGCAGGGCTGGAATAGCCCAGCACAGAGACACGTCACCTGCAGCCAGGTCCTGGCCAAATGTCCCCTCAGCTGGAAAATGGGGATAATGCCTCTTGTCTCCAAGAACTCCAGTTCACTGAGCCTTAGCTAAGCCTGGCACAGTTTGCAGGGATTCTTCCTAATGTACACAGGGAGAGAGGAGACTGAGGCTCAGAGAGGTTCAGCAACCAGCCCAGGGGTACACAGCGGGTAGATGGGATTTGAACCAGAGCCCCTAGCCATGCTCACAGCCTGAGCCTTGGCGCCCTTTTCTAGGTGGGAGGGAGTGGCTGACTCTTCCTGCTGTCACCTCAGTTTCCCATCTGCAGCCTGGTCCTCTCTGAAGGAGGGGGCAGGCCCCATGCTGCCTAAATGGGCCCCCCACCGGGATCGGGGCCATCACTACAAGCTCAGCACTGGGACAAGGACTAATTTATTCAGGCAAATAACACTGCAAACGTTATTTCCAGAACAAATACGCAGTGCCAGGATTCAATTTCTCCCCCCAAGCATTTGCGAGAAACCAAATGAGAAATTTCAGGTTTTGCATATTTATATGATTTAAATGTCTACTTAGGTCTCAAAACCCTCCGGTGATATCCTGTGGGGACTGGTGGAGTGGGGGGAGGCAGAAAAAGGAGGCAGAGCTGAGTGTTGCCAGCCCCAGGCTGGGCTCAGGACCCGACTGAGGGGTGGCTGGTGGATTGGGTTGCAGTCCAGGGCCCTCTGGAGTGCCTTGGGCAGGATACCCGGGAATGGAATCAACAGGCCTAAGGCCACGGCCTGCCTCTGCCTTGCTTGCCAGTGGTTGTGTGCATGCCCTCTCTGAGCCTCAGTTTACCCATCTCTCAAAGGGGATGCTAGCATGACATGCCCCGTGATGGGCTCATGGCTGTGAGGTTAAAGTGGGGGGTGTCCACCTGTGTGGCCAGCACTGTTCTCTCTCCCCTCGCTAGCCAGGTGGGCTAAGGAGCTGCACCTGGTGGGCGTCCGAGGACTGGGGCCCCATCCAGGGCTGCCCTGAGCTGCTGGGTCCTCACGCTTGGCCTCAATCCCCTGGGCTCCAGGTCCACTCCCAAGGCCCTGGAGGCCTCCCTCAACACGTGGATGAAAGTCCCCAGCCCTGGCAACAAGCCTGTGAGGCAGGGTCTACTTTCACCAGCCCATGCTGTAGGCCAAGAAAGCTCAAGCAACTTGCTTGAGGTCACACAGGAGGGAGGACAGCCACTCGGCCAAGACCAGACCTGAGCTCCTTTCTGACTGAGGATCCAGGGCTCTAACCTGGGCCGTCAGGCTCCTGAGTCCACTATGCTCAGCCACCTGGCCTCCGCAGGCCTCAGTTTCCCTGCCTGAGCAATGGCCCCAGCAGGCTGGCTGGCAGCTCAGACTTGGGGAGGCAGGTGAAGGGGGTATCCTGAAGGTGGCTCCTCCACAAAGGGGTCAGACTCCATTTGTGTTAATGACTGGTGGCCTCCTTGGCACAAAGCGGGGTCA